TTTTTAAAATTATATTTTTATAATTAAAATATTTTTAACATATACAACCATTTCGAACTATATTAATATTATATATAAATAAAAAAGATAAATGAATTAAAAATGTAATTCGAAAAGTAAAAAATAAAAAAATTATGTGTAATGAAAAAATATTTCATATTTCGAACACAATTTCGAACGCAAATCAATTTTAGGGTTTACTTTAACGTTTAATAATTATATTATATTAAAATTAATAATTATATTTATAATTTAATTAATTTAATAAATTAAATATTGAATTATCTAAAAAATTTTAAGAAAGAAACCTAAGAATAATATATTGTATAATTTTTTAATAAAATCTTAAATCGCAAATTATTTACTACTGGAAATTTTCTTTATTTCTTCATTTCAATTTTCATAAAATGTGGTAGTAATAAATAGTAATAAATGTAATAAATAGTTATTTATATAATTAATTATAAATTGTAATGTAATATTTTTTTTTCAATTTTTCAATTTTATTATTAATTAAAACACGTAAGCTTAGGCAAAGATTGAATTTTTTTTTTTAATATCATTATATTGAGTCATGATATTAAAATGATCAAATAATTAAAAAAATCATATGATTTAAATAGAATTTAAAAAGAAATAATAGATATATAATTTATATTCTAATTTTTTCAAATTAATTCCATCCATATTCTGTTTTCATTGATAAATCGTAATTGCTTATTAATACAATGAAAATAAGAATGTTGCATTATTTTGAAATAAAAAATATTATCCGAGGCGCATATTTTATTATAATAAATTGCATTTTGCATATTTTTTTCTTTTGAAAGAACTTGTATCATAAAAAATTATAATTCTTCTAAATGTTTCAGCCTGATTTACAAGATTTTTTATTAAAGTGTCTTATCAATGATGAAAGAAAACGTTGGTCCGCCGAACAACTATTACAACATTCATTTATAAAAACACCTTTAGCCCATGCATTATCACCTCCAAAAATACCACGAAAAGATGAACAGGAGATTCATGAACCGGAAGAACCTGATACAGATATTCGACAATATGTACCTCCGTTAGGTAGTCATTCAAGAATTACAAATGAGTTTGAAATTCTTGAATGGCTTGGTAGAGGTGCTTTCGGCGATGTTCTTAAAGTGAAAAATAAATTAGATGGTGGAATTTATGCTATTAAAAGGATAGAATTAAATCCAAAAAATAAACAACTTAATAAAAAAATTACTAGAGAAGTGAAATTATTGTCACGGATGAATCATGAAAACGTAGTACGATATTATAATTCATGGATAGAAAGTGCTATAATAACTGATGCGGTAGAAGAACGATTATCCATAACATTTTCCGAAAAAAAGAGTCCAGATCCGCTTAATGTAATTATTATAGATATTTATATTAATTTATTAATTAGTGAATTAATTTTTTGATTGTTTAAATATAAATTTTATTTATGAATATAAATTTCCTATTTTGAATTTAAATATTCATTTCATTGATAATATCACAATATTTAAATTTTATTTAATTTCATCAAGAATTTTTTAATTCATTTAATTTTTTATCAATTTAATTAATAATTTAAAATTATTCTTTTACTTTATTATAATTATTAAAAAATTTGATAAGAATTCACAAAATTTTCGTTGTTTTTATGTGTTATAAGAAATAAAAAAAATTAATATATATTACGCATTATGAAAAATTAATTTTAAACATGTTTAATTATTAAAAGTTCATATATAATTTTTTTTAATTCTTTTTTTTTTTTTTAAATTCTTTTCATTCAATTTTTAGCATTTGGGAATGGATGATATCGAAAAATTGGCACCACCACTACACGAAGTTGAATGGAATGTTTCATATAAATCTCGAACAAATACAACACTTCCAGCTGATAGCGATGAAGATAACAGTGACGCTTCGAGTGACACTGACAGTGATGAAGATTGTGCGTTTTTGTAAGAGATTAATTTTTAAAATAGTGATTTATAGATTGTATGATATTTTTGCAATAAAAAAAAATAGCTATTATCGAAATTATACGAATATTAAAATGTATTTAATCTTTTAAGAAAAATGTAAATATTTTTAATTTAATTTTATTCATTTCATTGATAGATGTTTGAATAATTTCATGAATAGTTTCACAATAAATCTATTATAATATAAAAATAAAAAATTATGATAATACAGGCTTAAAATAATATCGTAAAATTTTAAAATTGTATATTTTTTAAAATTAAAATTTTTTAGATATAATATTCAATAAATAATTTAAGATAAATTTTTCAGAATGCAAAATCTTTTAAGAATGGATTCTTCTGATAGCATAGAATTCGAAAAAGATACAAACTACCAAGCATCTGCATCAAATATAAACAACAACGAAAACGGGAATATAAACGAATCTAAAGAAATGGTCAGAGAAATTCAATTTATGTACATTCAAATGGAATTTTGTGAAAAGAGTACTTTACGAACAGCAATTGATGGAGGGCTTTATGAAGATCGAGAAAGAGTATGGAGATTGTTTCGAGAAATTGTCGAAGGTCTAGCACATATTCATCAACAAGGAATGATACATAGAGATCTGAAACCAGTAAATATATTTTTGGATAGTAACGATCATGTAAAGATTGGAGATTTTGGTCTAGCTACTACAAATATACTTTCATCTTTTGTGCACACAATGGAAACTGACAAAGAATTCCAAGGTTTAGAAAAAGGTAAATGTTAAAAAAAACTCTAAAATTTATTTATTAACATTGAAATTACTAATATTATGATCTCAAATATAGATATAATTGGGAATTTAAAAAATTAATTTCGAAAGTGTTTAAAGAATTTGAGTTTATCAAACTTTAATAAGTTTTATAAAAAATTTATTTATTATATGAGATATTTGGACAAAATAAGTAGAAAACTTAAAAATTGATTAAAAAAATTAAAACAAATACAAAAATGAAATATTACCATCATGAATGAAATATTATGAATAAAAATTATATCTCTTATTATCTTTTCAGATTTTTACATATAATATATTATATATTTTAGGTATTAGTTTTGGTACAGAAGAAGTTGGATCTTTGACAGGACAAGTTGGCACGGCACTTTATGTAGCTCCAGAACTTACAACGAAAGCAGCAAAAGCTATTTACAATCAAAAAGTGGACATTTATAGTCTTGGAGTAATATTATTTGAAATGTGTTACAAATCTTTAACTACAGGAATGGAACGAATTAAGGTTTTACTTAATTTACGATCGAAAGAATTATATTTCCTTCGGAAATGCAACAAGCTGATATGTCACGACAAATTCATATTTTACGGTATAATAAAAATTATATATATATAATAAAAATTCATTATTAATTTTATGTTAAAAATTAAAATTTATTGATAATATCTTATTATCCATAATTAATTATATTTAATTTTTTTTATAACGTGATAATAATAAAATAGATTAAATATTATACTCAATATTATATTTAAATTAGTTAATATGCATTAACTTGATCGTTATAGTTGGTTATTAAATCACGATCCTAGTCAACGACCCACGGCTCAAGAACTTCTTTCTTCAGAATATTTACCTCCTGCACGACTTGAAGAAACGGAACTGCAAGAAATGATTCGTCGCACTCTTTCAAATAATCAAAGCAAAGCATATAAATATTTGATTTCATGTTGTTTCATGCAAGAAGTTAGTCCAGCGGATGATATCACTTACGATATGAATTTACCTAGTAGAGGACATATCAATTTTATTGCTTGGAGAAAGTATCAAGAAGGAGTAAAGTCCAAAGTAATCGAAGTTTTTCAAAGACATGGCGGTGTTTATTTAGGAACTCCTCTATTAATACCAAAATCTCATCAGTTCTGTAGTTTTTCACCTTCTAGTGTCAAATTAATGACTCGTAATGGAAACATTGTTTGTATCCCTCATGATTTACGTGCCGTATTTGCAAGATATATTGTATGGAACAATGTACCACATATAAGAAGATATGCTATAGAAAGAGTCTTTAGAGATAAAAAGGTATTATTATTTTATATTACTATTTAGTGTTTTAAAAATCAATGTACAAAAATATTTTTTATTTATCTTAAAAATAATTGAAAAATAAATTTTTAAATATTTAGATATATTAAGTACATAATATATTTTTTTTATATATATTTCTTATATAATTTTATTTTTTTAGGTTTTGGGTTTTCATCCAAGAGAACTTTATGAGTGTGCATTTGATATAATAAATCCTATTCCTGATAATCTTTTAATGGAAGCTGAATTAATATATATCGTCTGGGAAATCATTAATGAATTACCTTCGTTACAAGAACGAAATTTTACTATTCGTTTGAATCATACCTCTTTATTACAAGCTGTGTTAATATATTGTGGAGTTGATAAAGAAAAATATCAAGATATTTATTCAATTCTTCGAGATGCGCGTGATGGAAAATTTACAAGATTTCAAATACAGACTCATTTAATAAGTTTATGTCTGACTGATCAGGCTATGGAGACATTATTCAATTTATTTGAAACTGAAAGTTCTGTTGCTAAAATTCATAGTGTTTTAAAAACAATTACACGAAGGAAAGGAGATGCTGCTGCTTTTGCTAGAGAAGGATTGAAAGAAATTGAAATAGTTATGGAGAATATTGAAACATTGGGTATAAAGGTAAAATATTATCTTTATTTCAAAAGAATTGAAAAATTTCAATTGAATAATTAGAATAACAATTTTGATGATTAAGGAATTTTTTTATATTATATTGTATACTTTGTATATACATATATGTACAACTTATATATATATATATATATATATATATATATATATATATATTATTATTAATAATATAATAATTA